CATACCTCCATTCAGTAGGACAGGCAACTGAATTCCTAAACTGGGCAGTTCAAGAATGCATTTTTAAAATGCAGGTGGGATTAAAGAGAATGATTTTGTACTCAAACACAAAAAGAAGGAGGAACTATGAACTTAACGGGGGTCTTAAAAACACACACAGGATGGAAAAGCAAGTTCCTCTAAACTACTGAAGAAAATTAGCAACACACAGATTTTATCACCTACTTCCTCCTCCTCAAAGGGATATTTTGTTATCCACTGAAACTGAAGAGGCGGTTCTCAACAAAATGAAGGGCTCAGATGCAAAGAATAGAAAAGGAAAAAATATAAATAAAAACCTGACGTACCAATAAACCAATGAACTTCAATAGCTCGTTTTATAAAGCAGTAGAACAAAGAACAAAACGGGTAAGTCCAGATGGCAAAACTCCAAACCCCCATTCGCTTAATCTCAGAGATGCTCTGCCAAGCCTTGTCCAAATAACCCAATTACTGCAGTCCACAGTCTAGTGGAAACTCTTGCAAAATCAGCTTCCAAGGAGGATTTCTAATCATGTCTACACTCGGCTCAAAATGATCAGCAGGATTCTGTTGAAGTTTTACCTCTGGGGTCGACAGCAGTCTTGCACAATGGAAAGAAGGAAGTTATCCAGGTAGAACTCTGGATGGAAATTTAAATCAGAATCCTCAAGGTACAAGTAAGGGGGAGTCCTGCCCATGTGTGATCTAATTCCCTAAAACCTTGTCCAGGAGAAGTCAGCAACTGGGGATTTCCTAACTCTGTATTTGGCTTCCAGCATCCTGGGGGTCCTGAGGTCTTCCTTCCTGCATCTGACTTTTTGCAATGACCTGTGACAGGATGGATATAGATCTACTTGGGTAGAGAACCTACAGCATTCCTTAGGGTTACACTGGCATTAAAAAAAGAAATTGCATGTGTCTCAGCAGGCTTTCTCTGTTCTCCTGCACACCCAGCTGCTTTTACAACTCTTACGGTTGTTTGCACACCAGCCTAAGCAGAGAATTTGCATAATGTATTTCAGCTGCGAAGCTATTCCTAAACATGAAACTTTGGGAGGGGGGGTTCAGATAAGAAGGCAAAAATCAATGCAGCTCCACTCTGGCCTTGATTCTCATGTCGGGTACCTCAACACCAGCCTGTTGAGCACATGAGGGGCATCACCTGAGGACAGGAGAAGCCCAGCCCAGGGATACCTTCCTGCTTTCCCAGTCCTGGCTACCTCTGGGCTTCTGTGAGAACTTGATGAATGGATTTCATCGTCTCTTCTCATGTCTTTTGTGTTTTTGAGGCACAAATGACTATATGGAACTCTTAATTTAACAGGAAAGTATTTGTGGCTTTTAAAACATGTTAATGATTTTATTTTATATGAAAGGGATAAATAAGAAGATGAAAGAGAAAAAGAGGTTCTGAATCTCCCATCCATTGGTTCACAGCTCAAAAGCTCCCAACAGCCAGGGCAGGTCCTGCTGGAAACCAGAAATCAACCTGCATCTCCAACGTGGGTAGCAGGGACCCGAGAACTTGGGTTCTCAACCTGCTGCCTCCTTCAGTGCACATCAGCAGGAAGCTGGGCTCAGGAATAGGGTCCAGCCCCAACTTGAACCCACATTCCAATATGGGATACGGGCATCCAAGTATCATGTTTTGCCTCCACGTTAAGTGTACATGCCAGTTTCTAGCTTTTTATCTTCTTTATCCAACTGTGTCTGACATTTCTTGCTGCAGGAAATTCCTACGACTTCAGGGCTCAGAGATAGTGTTGATGATAATCTAATGAGTGGCTCCGTCTTTGATTTCATCTGCACACGCAGATCCAGAGGTGTTCCAAAGCACAGATGTTCCTCAATGTATGATGGGGTCACATTCTAAGTTGGGAGTATGCTAAGTGTCAAATGCATCCAGTACGCCTGATTTAAGGAACATCATCTCCAACCTGCCTTAAGTGTACTCAGAACACAAACATCAGCCTAGAGTTGGGCAAAACCATAGAGCACAAGGCTTGCTTTACAATAGAATGTTGAGTATCTCTTACAATTCATGGAATACCTGTTTCTGAAAAGCAACAGCCATACAACATAGTACAGTATTGACTGGGGCAACCAAATTGTTGTGTTGGAGCCAGCCATCATCACAAGGATAGCCTATTGCACACTGCTCGCCTGGGAAAAGACAGAAATTGAAAAGACAAAGTACATACGTACAGTAAACATGTGGCCGAATGGTTAGTATGCCCACATCTGATAGAGCCCTGTCTGAGTTCAAGACCTGGCTCTGGAGCCTGACTCCAGCTTCCTGTTAATGCAGGCTTTGTAAGGCAGCAGCTGATGCCCTGTGCACTGATGGGAGAAGACCTGGATGGGTGCAAAGACCCCAGATTTGGGTACAGGCCTGCACCTATGAAGAGAACAAGTAGATGGGCATGCTCTACCCCTCTCTCTACTCCCAAGTAATTGAAAAAAAATTGGGGACCAGCATGTGCTACTGTGGATTAAGCTGCCATTATTGGTTCAAACCCCAGCCACTCTGCTTCTAATCTCTCTTCCTGCTAAACTGCCTGGGAAGGCAGCACAGGATAGCCCAAGTATTTACACTCCCAACACCGACACAGGGGTGGCTGGGATGGAGCTTTTGGCTCCTGGATTCAGCCTGGCCCAGACTCAGAGATCACAACCACCTGGGGAGTGGCCCAGCAGATGAGAGCATGTCTGTTGCTTTGCCTCACCAGCTGAAAGTATATTGCTTTTTTGCCGTTGGATAGTTGCACCATAGCATATCGGGGACCATTTGTATGCTTTTGTTTTTGGGGTGGCAAGGGGCAAAAGAAAGGCTACAGAAACTGAAAACTAAGGGGCTTTGCCCATTTTCTTTCCCTTGCTATTAAAGAGGAGAAAATTCAAAGTATCATCTTTGAGAGATCTTAGGTCAAATGGCATGTTTGTAATACACTCTAGCATAGTGCCTTGGAACGAATGTCTGGCATTTGTCAAATTAGAATCTCACTTTTCCCACTTGCTCCTTTGTTGACTGAGTCACTCGTTTAGAATGAGTATGTCTCAGCTTGTGCAACTCTGAAACAGTGACTGACCATTTGGCACACAGATTATGAAGAACAAAGGCGTTACCTACAAAAAGTACTAAGACTGGTTTTTGGAAAACCGTAATCAGTCAGTACATGTTAGGGTATCTTCGTTATTATTTTATAAATCCACATATTAAAACTCAAAATCATTCCCTAGTCCAGAAACTTTTATCTCTTTTTGGAAACTTTTCTACAACCTTCAGGTCTTTTTTTTTTTCTCTCTCTCTCTCCTTTGGAAACTGCTGGCAAGGAGGAAGGCATCCATAGAACCTTCTGGTGTTTTGGGATCATGGTTCTCTCTGGAGCCTTTCCTACAATCTTTCTGCCTCAGCAAAATACAGCTCTAGACACACCTGAAACTCTGCAGGGCCAAGACTCCCAGATGGGCGCAGACTGTCCTCTCCCAGCTGCCAGTTAGTGTCACAGTTAAAAACAAACAAACAAAAACTCAATGGCACCAAATGCCAATAAGGATTCAGGGAGCACACACCTGCTGGAACAGTCACATGACCTGGGCTAGGCAGCTCTGCTGGCCCCAGCTGGGTTTTCCATGCCTTTGTGGGTGAGCTGGAGGCCAGCTGATGGAGGCCCTCTTGGTCCTTCAGGGTGCGGAATGCTAGGACAGGCATGTCCTTTTCATGGTAGTGTCGGAAGCAGAAAGGAGCAAACGGAGTGCCTGAGGTCTCCCTTCTGCTTCTGGTTCACTCTGTGAAACAAGCCAGGTCAAGAGGTGAGCATGTACTTCTCCAGTGGGAAGAAAGGGGAGGAGAGAATGCTTTTGAAATTGTTTCAGTTCACTAGACAGTTAAGTGATCACCATGTCATTCCCACTGTGTCCGGGTGCAGCTTTTATGTCCCTAGCAACAATGATAATTGTTAGGAACTCTCCTCTCCTAAAAGTTCCAGGGGAAAGGAAACACAATCTGAGATTTCTGGCTTTAGTATTAACTTTGAATATTTTTTTATTTTTAGAGACTTGTTGGTTGATTTGAAATACAGAGTTACGAGAGGAAAAGACAGAGGAAAAGACAGAGTGGTCGTCCATTGGTCCATTCCCTCAAGTTATGATAAATGTTTCTGATTGCCTACGGTAAAAGTCATTTGAATTTCTTCAAGATAAATCGTCATCCATTCTAGAATCCCGTCATTGTGTTAAAAACAGTGCCAAGTCAGCCAGCACCCCCAGAGACCTTGCTCAATCTCCAGCCTAGCGGAAGGCACTCCTGGGAATTTACTCCCTCCACTTTGAGGAGGCTTCCAAACTCTTCAAACATTTGCACCTGGAGACTTTCAAGGGCCTGTGGTCAGAGGTTCCCAGTGGCTCTCAACCCGACCCCCACTTCCCACCTTGTAGCGGGGTGGAGGCACAGGCATCCCAACCCCAACCCACCAGTAGTCCTGACAGCATGAACTGACTTATTTCATGTTTCTGGAGCATCCTTAGGGACTGAGGGAAAGCATGGAGAGCCCGGGAATTAGATCCAAACCCACACTGAAATGACGCATTTCACTTAGGAGAATGAATTGCTGTGATTGTCCCCATTATATTCTACTCCCTATTACTTATTCATGAGATATAAACTCTCCTACTGTCGGAGTAGGAGAGAAATACAAGGGAAAAGTGACCCAAAATGTTAACGCAGACATTCCGCAAGGTGGATAGTTTGACTGAAAACATTTCATGCAAGATTTATAGTTCCCACATGCAACCCAAACCCTGATTTAACCTCATCTCATCTGTTTTCATAAAAATATATGTGGGTATGGAATAAAGTGCATCTCTGATGACTGGTTACCCATAACTGTGAAATGCAATGTACGGAGAAATATTAATAATTAAAGACATAAATCAATGGAATTGTGATATATAAGAATTTAATTTTTCAAAAACATAGGTACCTGTAAAAGAGTAATTTAACTTTGTGTTGGGCAATGAAATTTCCAGGGCTTATAGCCTTATAACCAACTAAACAGGCATTGATTAGAACAACAATTACCAAGCCTTCCAGATGTTTACAAAAGTTACTCAGAAAAATCAGAGACCCTTTGAAATTAGGCAAAATTGAATTTCATAAATGGTCCAAGACATACTTATATCTTAAAAAGAAGACTATATTTGCATTAGGAATCCAGAGTAACTTGGCCAAGGGTGAGGCTATTTGAAAGAGTTCCATTTCCTGTTATCCTTATCAGGGATTTCAAGGTGGGGGAAAGTTCAGAACAAAACAACAGGACAGATATCGCACTGGGGGAGGGGTAGGGAGGACAATTTTAGAATGCAGAGTAGTTCATCCACTGGCTCCATTGTAGCCTCATCTATCAAATGAAGGTAACAGGTCAAGTTTTCCAGATCTTCATTCCGGGCAGACCTGGCTTCTCACCACTGTTTGCATCTTGAAGTATTTATTTTCCACTCTGGTCTATTTGACACATAGGCCAGTGCTCAGGACACAGACGCAGGTCTATGACCTGAGTAGCATATCCTAACACAAGGAGAAATGGAAGACTCTCCGCCAGCCTTGGCCAGGGTACGGGCGAGCACAGCAGATGCCTGGCTGGCCTTGCCGTTTTCTTCACGCTACCAGCAGCTGTCCAACCAGCCCGGGGTTTCTGTCTTTGATTAATGCAGTGATGATGATGGCAGCTTGTTTTAAATTCTCCTGTAGCTTCTGCTCGTCCTGAAAAGAATGGGTAAAACGATCATTATTAGACAAAGAGAAGCAGATCACATTTCCCATTGGACAAGGAGCCATCTGAAAAAATCCTCTTTCTCGACTTGGCATGTTTTACACTGAGACCTTAGCCACTGGCATGGACTTGAGTCCCACCTCTGCTAGCATTTTTCATTATAATCACACACACACACACACACACACACACACACACACACACACACACACACCACAACACTAGCAGCTGAATATTCTATGAGAAACACTGACATAATTTCAAATGCTAAACAAAAAGAAACAAAAGATGGTTTTCTCCTAATTCTATCTCTGAGCACTTTGGGCACTTAGCTGAAGCATGGCTGCTTCTCCAAGGGCGCAAGCCTGTTCCTCATCTTGCCTGTGAACACTCTCCGACTCCATTAGTTTGTTATGGCTGCGGATGGGTGTGGAGAACAAGAAATGCTGCTTGTGAACTTAGGTTCCAGGAAGCTCATAACAGACTAATTTCACAAGTGGCTAAAGAGCGATTTTGTCTATGAAATCAAGCTGCCTATGAAAATCTACTCATCCTAAAATTAGCTCAACTTGTTTAAGGTCATGGGCAATTATCACCTGGACAGAAAGGGGAAGAGACAGAGGCAGAACTGCTGTCTTTGAGGACCCTACAACGGAAGTGCCAGGTGATCGCCATGTCACTACGACCCACCATTTCCCATCCTTACTATTCCTGCATCCACACATGTTGGGGTTAGGCATTGAGGATGACACCATTCCTGCTGCCACTACTGCATCGCCCCTCTGCCCTCTGCTAATGTGACAATGTCCTGACAGTCTCTTAGAGACTGTCACATCCCACAGACCTCAAGATACTGCGTTCAATCTGACCACAGCATTGCTCTTGTATATGTAGTCCATTGAAGGATTCCTCTGAGCCACAGGATAAAGGCTGATGCCAGCAAGCAAGTGGAAATAGCCTCTTGTGGATGTTCCTTTACCCCACTCAGCTCTGAAGCCTACAGTCACATAGCATGGAGCATCAAGATGAGCCATGCAAGCTATTTCTCCAAGCGCATAGCCCTGAACTACGAAAAGTTTCCTGTACCTTTCCTAGTTCAGTTGATCCTGATTATTCTTTGGGGTTCCACTCAGGTGTCTGTGACTCCAGCAAGCCACCTTGGCACGCAGCCATCACCCAGTTGGGGTGTCTGTTTCCTGTGAACTCCTCCAACACACAACATTTTCATAGTCTCTTTAGTTGACCACCATTCCACCAGATGATGAGTTTCTTGATGGAAAGCATTATTCAATTTATCCCTGAATCTGGAACACTTAGCTCAATGTCTAACACATGGTAGCACTATGTAAATTTGAATAAATTCAAAGTAAAAGTGGCTTGATAATAAGATCATTCTGGGGTTTAACTTGTTGGCTGATGGGAACTGCTGTCTGGTGATGTTGGTGACTCTTCTTGGGAGGTTTAATCGATTGGGCACCTGGCAAGAGCACAAGGAAGCACCACATCTGAGCCTCGCTGGCACCGCTGCCTTTGCCTGCACCAGTCCTGCACTCCTCACTGCCACAGGTCACCGACCACCCTCACTCCCACCCATCCTGCGCACCTGCACATTTTTTGCATCAACTCTTCTGATGGTGTCCTTTTGGATGAGGCAAGGGGCTGAATGCCTTGCTTCTGCCGAGTGTGTTTCATACAACATTTCCATATGGATTTCAAATGCTAATCTGATTTACACAATGTCACAAGACCTAGATCACATGTGAATAGCTTTAAAGCTAAATGTTCTGGAGTTGAAATATGATGTACTTCTATAGGAGCAAATTCATGCATGCCAAATTCTACATTCCATAATCCATCATTCCACAAACACGGACAGCATTCTGACATCCAGAAAAACTTGAACCAACCATTGACCAGCATCAGCGTGGCAGACTGATTTGCTAAAATGAAGATATAATACAGATGAGCATTACTAAGTCTTCTTCTTTTAAAGACATAAGAATTCTATCCTATGAGCTCAGTGTGATGGCTTGATTGGTTAATCCTCCCCTTATAAGTGCCAGGATCCTATGTAGGTGCCAGTTCATGTCCTGCCTGCTCCACTTCATATCCAGCTCCCAGCTTGTGGCTTGGGAAAGCAGTAGGAGTTGGCCCAAATCCTTGAGACCCTGCACCTGTGTGGAAAATCTGGAAGAAGCTCCTGACTCCTGGCTTCAGGTTGGCTCAGCTCCCACCAATGCAGTCATTTGAAGAGTGACCCAGTTGATGGATAATATTTCTCTGTTTCTCCTCTCTGAAAATCTGCTTTTCCAATACAAATAAATAAATCCTTTTAAAAAAAAACATAATTATAAACCCACCACTGAAAGAGGAATTAATGTTTAAAAAAAGAAATTCTATCTTTCTAGCTCTCTGAAATCAAATTAGGCTTATAATAATTAGCCTAGCAGCTAAAGTCCTTGTATTGTACACACTAGGATCCAATATAGTCACTGGTTCTAATCTCGCTGGCCCCACTTCCCTTGAAGCTCCCTACTTGTGGCTTTGGAAAACAGTGGAGGACAGCCCAAAGCCGTGAGACCCTGCACCTGCTTGGGAGACACAGAAGAAGCTCCTGTCTCCTGGCTTTGAATCAGCTTAGCTCTGGCCTTTGTGGAACACTGCACCTATGTGGGAGACTCAGGAGCTTCTTCCAGGTCTCCTATGTGGGTGCAGGGTCCCAAGGCTTTGGGCCATCCTCGACTGCTTTCCCAGGCCACAAACAGGGAGACGGATGGGAAGTTGAGCCACCAGGATTACAACCGGCGCGTGCAAGGTGAGGACCTTAACCACTATGCTACTGTGCCAGGCCCCACGTGGTCATTTATAATCATTAAGGTGTATGAATGCGCTGAGGTTCCCTTGTGAGTTTCAAACACTACTGGACAAATGTTAAAAAGAAAAAAAGGCAACCTTATTTGTGTACTTATTTATTAGGGGAGAGAAAGCGAGAATGAGCGAGAGAGAGAAGCAGATGGTAAACAGACTGAGAAAGTTTCCATTTGCTGCTTTACTCCCCAAATGTATGCAAGAGCAAGGCTGGACAGGACCACTAGGAACCAAAAATTCCATCCATGTTTCCCACATAGGAGATGGGGACCCATGTACTTGAGCCATCACCTGCTGACTCCCAAGGTACTCAGCAGCAGGGAGTTGGAATCAAGAGTGAAGCTAGGACTCAATTCCAGATTCTCCCATAGCGGGTCCTGGCTGGCAGCTTAACTGCAGGCCAAATTCCTGTCCCCAAGGTAGACATTCTAAATCTTCAGTAAAAAGGGGGCCAACACAGTGGCTCAATGGGTTAACCCTCTACCTTCCAATCATGGCAGTCCATACAGACACTGGTTCACATACCAGCTGCTCCACTTCCCATCCTGCTCCCTATGGCCTGGGAATGCAGCAGACATAGTTCAAGTCCTTGGAACATTGCACCTATGTGGGAGACTCAGAAAAAGCTCCTGGTTTCCAATTGGCTCAGCCTCTGATCGGCCACTACAGTCTGCCGTCCCCAAACCCATAATCTCAACCTCACATGAGAACTACAGATAAATTCCAGGAATATTCTGTGGAATACCACTTTCTTTATCTGCTGGAGCTCCTCTTAGCACCACAAAACGTTTGAAACATTTAGGAAACCATATGTAGGTCATCCCAGAAGCCAGGTTATCTGGGGATACTTACTTCATGAAAGAAACACGAGTAAAAACCATTCATTCTATTCCCAAGGGAAGTAGTGTGATAGAATGTACACGACCAAGAGCAAGAGTAGACTTAGGTGACATGAGCATCATTGGACACAAAAGGACAAGGGCTGCGACAGTGTGCTAAGAGCATTTAATACTGTGATGCTTCCTATTGTCAGTAAGACCAAGAGCTTAGAGTAGGCACAGGCTGCCACATCCAGAATGCGTAGGAACTCCTCCGGGGGAAGAAATGCTGATGGATTTTTATGGAGGTCTATAGACGTCAGGAGCTTGAACAGACCTTCCTCACGTATTGCAAGCAGCCCAGGTTCTGTACATTTTGTACATCAAAAAAGAACAACTGGCCAGAAGTTTATCAGAGTCAACACCCTGTAACCATAGCAACATTTATTGCCAGGGTTTAAGTTGATTCTGATTTCAGCTCTCCAGCCATGAAGAGTGTGAACTGTCATCACTGCACACCAACTCTGGAAGCCAGCGGCAGGACACCCAAAGGCATGCACCATCTAGGACAGTCAGAAGGGCCCTGCATGCTATGAGGTGCTGGGGCCTGCACCTTCTCTCACATTTTAACCATGAATGGGCTCGCATCACTGGGGTTTGTCTGCTGGTTTCACTTCATGATCACACCAATGTTTTTGAGAAAGCTTGAAAAATGTCAAGCCCTCCCCCTTCCAAAGTAACTTTAAAATGTAACTTCTAGTTTAAAATAGAGCATTTATGCTTGTCCTTGTTCACAACTATATGACAGCAAAGAAAAAGAATCCAGTTAAAAGGCGTTGGGGGGTGGCAACAAGAAGTGCAGCACAGCAGTCGGCTTTCTCAAAAATGTTAGCAAGAGTTATTTTTGGATGATGGATTTATAGCAACTTTTATTCCTTTGTCCTTTGCTATCCTGTCAAAATTTCCATAATGAACACATTTAATTCTTCTTAGGAGAAAAACAAATTATTTTAAAGTTTAGCTTTATGACTGCCTCAGTTCAGGGAACTCAATTTGATTTGTGACCATATAAAATCAATAAGACAGAGTAATGTCCACATTTCCAGAAGACACTTTTCCCCATAAATATCTTCAAAATCTGTACAAGGAAGACAGTTTTTTTTTTTATGCTTGGAAATTCTCATCTCCAGTAAAATGCCAAGAAAGAGTAGAATGAATAATTCACAGCATTGTGGCTGTCTGGTGATTTTGATTTTAAGAAAAATATCAGGCAAGTGGAATTGAAAATCACAAGAACAAAAGTG